GAATTTTAGCACTTTTAGATATGAATGCGCTAAAAATAAAGATGCCGAACTGATTACAAAGATACTCCTGCCATCAGAGATCTTTAAGGGCATTAACATTGCATCACCTTGCCGCGATGCCTACACTGCATGTACTCGTAAGGAAGGCCAGTGAGGTGTAAGACTTCCGCGTGAAAGTGATGCATGTCAGTGGGTCAACTGCATGTAAATTGCCAGAGGTGCTCTAATGTAACAGGCGAAACAACTACCTCGATGAGTGCCGGGTATGTTCTCACGCAGGAAGGTGTCCTCTAACGGAACGACCTTGTCCCTATATATCAGATATATATATATATNGTATATCAGTTCAAATCCGATCACAGTGGCCGCGAGGCCTAAGGCATGAACAGTCTTCGCCCGCTCAAACACTGGGATCGCAGGTTCGAATCCCACTTAAGACATGGATGTCTGTGTGCGTTTATTGTATTTGTGCTGTCCTGAGTGTTCAGGTAGCAGCCTTGCAACGAGCTGATCCCCTGTCCAAGGAGTCCTACCGACTGTGTAAAACATCAAGAAACTGAAAAGCGGCCAAGATCCAACAGAAAGGGCTGTAGAGCCATAGATAGATAGATATCAGTCCAGAAATCAAAGTCGATGTCTTATGAAAGGAAACAGACCATCGCAACAGCTCAAAACTGTGTTATATAAACAAATATATTTTCTAACACGTTCTAGCTACATCATATGATAATGCAAGTGGGATCAAGAACTACATATAAAGCAGTAAATAGTAGGCACATAAAATGCTATAAAGGGCAGCAATTTGAACAGGCTCTTATGCCTGTGAAATGAGGGTGATGACAAAAAGCTTTAAAAGAGAAATCAGGTTTCGGAAATGAGCTTCCTCGAACATGTTTATGGGGATCAGGTCATCAGACAAACAGCTGAAGACACGCCAAAGAGGCAGACTAAACATTGTTCAAGCCTTCCAAGCCCCGTGGTTACTGTATGTACCACCGGCTTTAACGTAATAAATCTCTGAACTATGCCCACAGAAGTGTATTTGCGTGTTGCGTCTGGTTCTCACAGTTAACAGCATTGACCGATTGGTCTTTGTGATGTAAGAACTGAATTTGTATACCTTATTTAGAAGAAATTCAGTCTTTAAAGGGTTTAGTGAGTACGAGAATAAGGTGGAAGACAGGACCAAACAGATGAGCAGAGGTGTTCTGTGTATGTACCCTGATTTGCGTGTCTTCGTTTATACGCGATTTAAATCCGTAGGAACATCCCACACTTTAGGGCAGCGACTCTCAAATGCGTGGTTTGATTGTATTTCGAAAAAGACCCACAAAAAATACAGATTTAGCACATATATTAATAGACGAAAGTTTCCTAGCTCAGAAATTTCAAGCTGTTGACCAAGAATCAGATGAAGCCTTTGGTGATGACCTACTCCATCCATGTGCGATCATGCCTGCTCACGCCCTGCTTGCAGGTAGTACTAATTCTGTCCGTAGATGGATCTGTCAACACTCTTCGTCGCCATTTTCATTAAAATTGCTTATCTGAAACAGCTTCTTGTAACCTCTGTTATTTATTCCTTTCAATATGGGACGGCATTATTCACCCACGAATATGTGAAGCGGGGCCCATAGCATATCATTATACTGTCATGTGTTTTCGTGACTATAGACGGGGTTCGGATTGTTAATTAAATTTACTGACCATATAAGGTCGTAACTACATACAATTATAACACTCTAATGATCACTGTAATTATAGCACATAAATAACGTCTTCAATGTCTGCTTACATTAGTCGTTGCTAGGTAACATCTCAACAATGGCTAAGCCTTGATAATGTTTTCGCTTGATCACACTTCAGATATTACACATGAAGTCTTCTCTTCACAGCCACCCGCAAAGAACTGAGCTCTCAACTGCCAACCCTCAACTGAACTTGTAGCGCCGACTGTCTTCAAGATAACTCCTCTGCAAGGACCCCACGGAAAACGCTGTCTTCTATTCTTAAGGATGCGTGTTTGCAGCTTCTTTGTCTAGCAATAGACGTCCTATTGTTCTGCGCGTTTGCTTCTGCGAGAATGTATTTACCAACACGTTTCCTAGCAATGGGTGTACATGTAACAATACTAATACATACTAAGTTCTTCCTAGAAGTTATTGAAAACACTGAGTCTATTAACTGAAAAATCCTGTTCAACTGACTTGATTTCTCGTTATGTGGGAACTTACAGGGACTTAGCCGCCGTGTAAACTGGCATGTACCTAAAAATTACGGCTTTAGACTTTGAACCACTATCGGTCTCAGTAAACTTGACATTGCATGACATCTTAAAATGTTCCACTAGCTCGCTTCTTAAGTGCCTGCGAAGACTACCCAAACAAAATCACAACCAGCGACTTTAGGGACAAAATATACATGAACGTAATCAGTATTTGCTTGTTTCTTCCGGTTAAGATGCTTTGTCAGTTGTACAGACTATAGATTGAATGATATAATTATCATAAATTTAAGCAATCATTATTTAATTTCAGGTACTATCCTAGCATTTCTTGACGGCAATGAGAAATATCATGAAGAATCTCGGTTAATCTAGTCGACCCTCGAATCTGGTACCTCTAATAAGAAGCCAACCACTAGACATTCACGTTCGATAAAATAGAGCACACACATATGAGGAAATCTACCACAACACGGATCCTAAATATCCTGCTAATCGTACTATTACGGTCAACATTTATCTGTTTCATCTGTGCACAATTCTCTCAGAAAACCGCTCTAGTTAAATACTGGCTTTCGGTTATAAATCACCTCCCTTGTGGTAGCACAAAAGAAGGAAGGAAGGAAAGTAAAAAGTAAAATGCGAGAAATGGAGAAAGAAAGAAAGACACAGGGAGCAAAGAAATAAGGAAAGAAGGCTGTTTCATTATTATGCACAAAAGGAACAGAAACTTGCCAATATCCCTTTAAGTAGTTCTGTTCATCTGAGGCACGTATTCTTTCTATATATTCCAGAGACTTTCAAGATGGCACCCTGCTCTTGAACGGTATTACTAATCGCTACTCAATTCTCCGATACGGACATCGCAGAATTTTCAGTAACTCATAAACTGGCCGCGTACGTAACAGTGTTCGTACTACTTGAAAACATCGTTGATAAAATACAGAACCGTGATTTTAATTAACTGCCAAAATTAGCACAAGACAAAAAAGAAATTGCACTGACCTTCTTTTGTTTCAGTGCCAAGTTTGGTTACCGCCGTGTAAGTACGGCAACTTCTCTGGCACATCGGTCTCTCAGGTAGTCTAATAAAGCAGGCGCGTCTCAAANAGAAGGGCCGTACACTCTTTCTTTACTGAGGGCGCAAAACACGTTCACCTTTGCGCTATCACGAACATGTTCCAGGGAGACACGTGGATTTTCGCTGCCCCAGATCCTGCAGTTGTGGGTATAGACCTTACCACTGTCATGAAACGTGCTCTCAACACTGAAAATTACGGAGTCCAGAAACTTCTCATCGTCTTGTATCCGATGAAACATTTGCATACAGAATTCCTTATGAACCACCTTATCTGCATCCGTAAGGTGTTGAACGATGGATAGTTTGTACGCTTTTAAGTGTAAACGTTTTCGTAACACTCGCCACACAGTAACATTTTGAATACCAGTTTCCCGAGACGCACGTCGCGTTGACTTTCGTGGAAGCTCTCCCTACTCTGTTCCACTGTAGCGTCAGAAACACGTGGCCGACCGGGTGGCTTGGCATGGCGCACAGAACATCCGGTCTGAACAAAATTATTGTGCCAGGAGTAAACTGTAGACCTACTGGGAGGTTCCTTGTGATGCTGACTGCGAAATTTCCTTTGAACTTGTGTAGCAGACTTCGTTTCTTCGAACCAAAACACACAGCGAGCACGCTCTGCACCTGTGAAAGTAGCCATTTTGATGTAAATTGCGGGAGCGCTCGCGGTGGCGGTATTGGATACTACAGTACCATGTGCATCAAACTCAGTGTGTTTTGCTACATTATGACAGTTCAAAACGTTGTGTGTGTTTTCTGCATAAATTTATATAAGCTTTCAAAGTTGTAAAGCTCTTTTTGAAACACCCTTATGATCGAAGGCGTTATTAGCGTTTGTGTCGCTCTCAAAATAATACATAGGCTAAGAAATAACGAACTGTCCAACATAAGTAAAACGAGGGGAGTGCCAGAGCAAAAAGAGGGGCTAACATCCCTTCTTACTGGCATGCAACTGCGGCACCAGTGGTGGGAAATATTCACCATCCTGAATTAATCTAATGCGATGAAAGGTAGGCTTCTCATTAAGATGAGATTATGGACACACTGCATCAGTTTCCAAAACGGATCCACATAAAGATTATCAGGAAGCAGACTGGTGAGGAGACTATTATATATATCTATTCCATTCATACGGTATGGTGTGAAACTGGCCCCTCTTGCGGGGAAACAGTTACAGATTGAGGGCGATGTAGCAGAAAAAGGGGTGAAGAGAACAAACCCAAGAATAGGGCTCCAGAAAATGACTCCATTGAGGATCTTCATAATCCGTATTATTCACGAATTATTAGTATGAATAAATCAAGAAATGAGACAGACAGGACACGTAGCAGGCATCGGTACCAGAAACGTACAAATATTTTGACACATATGAGTAGATGCCGGAGTAATATTAAAATGAATCTTACAGCAACCCAAGGTGAGAATGTGGATTGGATTCAACTTGATTCTGATAGGTTTCAGTGGAAGTTTCTTACGAACACAGCCGTGAACCTTAGAGTCTCATAAAAGCAAGAAATTTCTTCACCACCTGCGTAACTATCAATGTTCCTACAAATATCTTGAACCATGTAGTTCGGTGGTCATACTGTACTTGTAACTAACGAGGACAGTTTCAAGGCGATTTATCCAGTTTGTAGAATGAAAAATGCTAGACCTCGGCTGTAGACGGAGGTTGTATAGGTCAATCTCTCACACCTGTACGAGTTCTTCCGTTTCCGTGTCAGCTGTCTGGTGCTATCTACGGGCTGCTGCAGTTCCATGGCAGCACCGCTAGATGGGGGCGGAATCGGACAGCCTCCGACGTACATGGATGTGGAACAGGAACTTCTAGAAAACAAAGAGATCATTTCGTAAATTATACAAGGCAATTTAACATACTGAGGAGCTCCAGAATTTATAAGATATTATGCGAATAAACTGGGAATGGTCGGAGGGAACGGATATGTATTATGCATGGAAAGATGAGAACCAGTCATATCAAATGGCAGCAAAGGCCCAGCGCTTCGGAGATCTCCTTTGCCTCCACCATCAAGGAAACTCATATAATTCCATGATGATAGTGACAGAGAAGGTTTCCAAAACGTTGAAATTCTGTTCCGACTTGAGGTGGCTGATCGCTAGAGAATAATTTATCACGCATAGAATTCTGGTCAGAAAACTAGACTTGGTAGACAGACGATGTATCTGGTAATATCATTTTTCCTTTTGGCGCTGCAGCCCAAATTTGTGTCTTGGCCTACCTCCATGAAACTCTCCGTTCCATTTCGGTATACTAGATCTTTAGACATTCGGTAGGACTCCTTGGGAGGGTGATCAGCTCATCGCATGGCGCCTACCTGTACACAAATACAAAAAACCCACGCACACACAAATACTGAATATCCATGCCCTGAGTTGGATTCGAACCCACGATACCGGTTTCAGAGCGAGCGAAGACAGTGCACGCCTTAGGCCGCTCGGCTACCGTGACCGGCAGTGTATAAGAATAATATATAAGAATTCAGTTCGTACCTCACAGGAAACAGATCCGAACCCACGATCCCGGCTTCCCAGCGAGCGAAGACAGTGCATGCCTTAGGCCGCTCGGCTACCGTGACAGGCGGTAACATCATAGGGTATATAAAAAATCTTACAGAAACGTGGTATAAGTGGTTGGACTGCATTCAAGAGGCTCAGGGGATGGTAAAATGGAGATCTCTTTGTGATGAATATTCTTCATTCCGTAATTTTCACGTCGGCTGTCTCCCGTCTTCATGGATTACTGAAAACAGGGTGCACCATCTTCGCCTACTTGTCAGCACCTCCTGCTCCTCTCTGTATAAGCATGTATTTCCTATCTATGCACCAAGCTTTGTAAGTTACTTCTGAAATCCTCTGCAGTTGTACGTCCTCTACATCGTTAAACAGATGTTATCAACCCAGACTGGGGCCATCAGAGTGATCGTTTAATGTTTGGGAACAGCCACAAATCACGCGGGACCACGTCACATGAACAAAAAGGTCGTGGGAGCATCTCAACTCCTCTTCCTGTGAAAAGCAAGATTCACTGCAAAATAAAAGACAGTTCGAAAGACATAACCGCTTTAATATAATTTCACGCCGCAAATGACATTCAGATGAAGTAACACTTTCATTCTTACTTACTTACTTAATCCGTTCCTCTTATACCGTACGGTGTCGAGGTTTGTTTTTTCATTTTGATCATTTTACAGACGGTAAGACTCCTTGGACGAGCAATCAGCCCGTCGCAAGGCCTGTACCTAAACACAGGCCAACACAAACAGAATAAACACATACACATACCAAACATCCATGCCCTCTGTGGGATTCGAACTCACGAGCCCGGCTTCGCAGCGAGCGAAGACAGTACATGCCTCAGACCGCTCGACTACCGTGACCGGCCACTTTCATTCAAAAGAGTAAAATCACGGACAATGTGAGGCAGTCCCCTCAAATTATGGATCATTCAATCAGCAGAACTGCCTTTAGAAGTGCACCTATAACATAATAGCGGAAGAAGATATTTTGAGATATGTTATCAATAACATCTGCTTGTCAGTATATTACCGCGGTAAAATTTGTGGTCGGGCTGGTTCCCGCAGCTGACAGGACACTCTTCGCGCATAGACCCGGCGCGGTAGCCGATAACCAAGGGCCGCTTTACTTTTGTAAATGAATTTACCTTAATTTATATAAGAGTCTAGAAGTTACAACCCTCTGCATCCAACCATGCTTCACACCGTGAGAATAGGTTTCAAGATATACGCAGAATCTACTGCACGGGAGTAGCAGGAATTTCGTGTATAATTTTTTTTTTTAAGTTTTCCCGAAGGACTCCGATTTTTCGCATACACTTTGTAGTTCAGCGTTCCTTACAAACGAGAGTCACAAGGATCTAAACTGGGTGATCGTAGAGGTCACAGGCTTCAACTCGCTCGCCGAAGACTTCATCTAATGCATCCACACAGATGCTCGCAGTGTGTGACGCCATATTACCTTGCATAAACTGTACCTATGATATTTCTTCACCAGTTGATCGAAGAAGGGATCTGTTTTGTGGAAAAATAAAGCAAAAGTCCAATGCACACGAAACCACAACTTTCAACTCACGCCATGGAACTCCATAAACTGAATGAGGACTTTCTTAGCTTCATTATCTATTTTGGTTATTTACATAATCGCTAAGCATGAATCACGCCTCATCAGAATAAAACGATAATTCCAGGTCAAGAAGTCCGCTGAACACCTATTCCTGAAACCACCTGCGGTATCGAATTCTTGTTTCGCAATCTGGTGGCAAGAGGCTATGTATATCTGTACATTTGTAAAGCCGTAAGGCTGGCAAATTTATACCAACATGAGCTTACTTTTTGCCAACCCACACCGAAGAGACAAAGACGTAAGTAACGACTTCTTTGAGTTTTCTTCTATCTAGTATCGATGTCAATCAAGTTTTTCTTTAGAGAGTATATGTCTTTTCGAGATTTCTTTTTGTCCAGCACGGTCCTCGTAGAAAGTAATTTGGTTACAATATTGTGTGTGAATCGTTGTTTACATTGCACTGTATTGTCAGACTGCTTGCTACGAAACTTTCTAAGGCATTTCCTGTATGACGGACGCTGTACAGAGGTACTCACTCACTCATGGAGCTGAGCCCTTCTTGGGAAGCTACCAATTGTGCAGCTACTACTCAAGAACTTACCAGCATTTTATGGAAAACGAAGGTTCAATTACCGTGTTCATAAAATCCCTCCACTGGTCCTATCCTTAGCCAGATCAACCCAATCCATACGATCCCATCCTATCTCTTTAAGATCTATTTTAATACTGTCCACCCACGTACGCCTTGGTCTTCCCAGTGATCTCTTTCCTTCTAGCTTTCCCACCAATATCCTATATGCATATGCATAGAGGTATTGCATATAAATGATTTGCTTTCAACAACACATTTAATTTTTAACAATATATTTCATAGGACAATATTCAGTTATTCAGTATTGAGGGGGTGGGTTTCCCCATGCACCGCGACTGATTGTACTATTGTACGTCCCCCTTTTAATTTCTACTGTCTCCATGCCCTACCGGTTCTGGTGCTCGCTATCAGTCCCTTTCTGCCAGTGAGGTTTCTACCCTCTACTTGGCAGTGGTATCTAATAGTTAGTCCCCTTCTGTTAGCGAGGTCGTCCCTCCTCTGGCAGTGGTACCTAATACTTCCCCATTGGAAACTACTTGGGCGGGAAACTTTTTGGCCTAATTTAGCTCAGAGGCCTCCTACGTGCCGTAAATCTACGACACGGGGCCCACGGCTTAAAGTCCCTCCCGGAGGACTTGTTCCCTGAATTTTTCCGCCCTTAAAAATTCCACGACCTCCGCCGGGTTTTTGAACCCGCGTACCTTGAGTCATGAGGTGGGAACGTTACCCCTTGACTACGGAGGCCGCTCATAGGACAATAACTCTATTAGTGCGTATCTGAAAGAAACTAAGTATAATGATCATCGACCTTTTTTTAATGCTAGTGGGGTGGGACTAACTCCCTTGTACTGCAGCCACTTCTGGCCTATTGTACCAGCCCCAGATGATAGGTGAGGGTGATTGTGGAGCAATTGGTGGAATGAAGATTGGCAGGGGAAGCCGGAGTACTCGGAGAAAACCTTCCCTAGGGCCACTCTGTCCACCACAAATCCAACTTGACTAGACCCCGGGATCGAACCCGGGCCGCCGCGGTGAGAAGCCAGCGACTAACCGCTTGATTACTGAGATAAGCCAGTATGCAATGGATGACGAATCGACGGTTCGGCGGTCAGCGTTGGTGAGGCCTGGGCGAACACATTTCTAGCTTGGCGGTCCAAGGATAAGCTGAATTCCTTGTATATCATGTATTACAACAGATGGCGTACATTATTGGATTGTTATCCTAATGGTCATGTACCTTGGATAGTATGACATAACAGAAGTGAAAGTATGTTAGAACTAAGGGTATTTTAAAACTGAGTTCTTTAGCCGTTCCTCGGTTATTATTGGGAAAATAAGACGCATATGCACGTACTACTGCAAGAAGAGAAAAATGGTCTTGCTTTTCATTTCGTAAAGTAAATACCACAATGGAAAATGTTCCAAATAAATGTTGTAGACCTTAATAAAAACCAGAATTTATTTGGCAGGTATCATTTTTACATGCACGATGACACTTTAAGAGACGGAAAATGCGATTTGAATTTCCTGTAATATTGGGGCCAATATGGGTCAAAATGAAATTACCCCAATAACATTTAGTGCAAACCCTCAATATGAAATTTCACAGAAACACACACAATAATTTCAGAGATAAAGCATGTGGGAAGTGATCAGGCTAAAATGAACCAATCACCGAAATTTTATTTGGAAGGAGTAAGTATAGGCTGGCATTACTTTGTTAATATTATGTAGCTCTTATTGTGAAAACAATGCAGGGGCCTACTAAGATAAGCAAATGAACATTTCAGAACATTTGTAAGAAAAGAAGCGCGCTATTTTGAGGTGCTACTGTTCACGCTATTCAAATCCAGTTAATACCAGAGCTTGGATTAAAAACAGCTTTGTCAGTGTGTCAGTCGTCTATTTTAATGTACCACCTCAGCGTTTACCTGCCCGGTCTTGAGAAACCACTAAAAACCTTGGTTAGAATAGCAGGCTGGTCGAAATTCGAACCAAGTACATCCTGAATACACGTCTAGAGAGCTGATATTATAATACTCTTGTCGGTACGACTTATAAGAAAGGTTGCACATTCGTGGGAACGACCTCCTGTGGCCCTTCCACGTGGAGATAATGCAAGAGGTCAAGGTGA